ACTTCTTATTATGACAAAGGAACGAAACAACCCATGGAAATGCAATGAACATGAATCCGTTATGAGCTTTAAATTGCGTGTCTCACTGTCCCAAAGTGTCTCAGAAAAACAAAAAACTCCGTGATTTCAGTCCGCAAGCGAACATACCGACCGAGCGACCGCCGCTTGTCGGCTAAGTTTAGTGCACAAATTTTGCGGATTGAGGGTGTCGTGTGGTCAGCGCAACGAATCCCCACGGCCGAAAATTTCGGTCTTCTAGACCGGAGCCGCTATTTTCTTGAAATAGCTCCTCAGTTATCTTAGTAAATCTAAACTCTTCTTAATATTATATTTAACTGTAACTTTACTTGATTCTGTATTCCATGTGTAGATGGTCAAGAGTATTCAAAATTCTATTTATTGTCCATTGTCAGTCTGATTATACTGGCCCGTTCCTTATGCTCGGTTACAGTCAATTATCGCATGACAATATCCAAGATGGAGAATCCTTCTTGAGAAGACGATATTGCTCAGATAATGACAAGACTGGCAGGGTTTCACGCAATCCAAAGGCTTCTTAATATGAATTTGATTTGTTTCATTATGGTCCGTCACACTAACAAATTACAAAGACAAGACAACTTCCTCCAGTGTGACTATTGCAGTTTTTACTACTTCAAAACTTAACACCCGTACATGTTTCGGTCCCTATAGACCATCATCAGAGGGACATCGATACTTTTTGGAAACTACTATCACAATGAGTGTTTTGAGTGTTAAAATACATATACATACAATGTTTGTAACGCACAATATATACAAAATCCAACTTTTCCACAACTACAGCAGCTTTCTTGGTATATTAAAGTTTTTAAAATGTTGTTATTTAAGTTAAAATTTATAAACCAAGTAGGTTTGTGTCCCTTCTCCTATCGTCTTTCTTGATGGGGGCTGAACTTGTGCTGATGACAGTAATCATGGAAATGATTGAGAAAGCCAAAAAAAGAAGGCATGAATATAAAAGAGGTCTTCCATATATGTATATCGTTTTAATAAATTCAATAAATTGATAGAAGAACAAAAACACACAAAAGAACGTAATAACCAACTAACATGTTCGACCTCATAATACAAAATCAGAACACGACCACATCAATGTCACAGACACAGGNATATATATATATGTATTTTAACACTCAAAATACCCATTGTGATAGTAATTTCTAAAAAGTATCGATGTCCCTCTGATGATGGTCTATAGGGACCGAAACATGTACGGGTGTTAAGTTTTGAAGTAGTAAAAACTTCAATAGTCACACTGGAGGAAGTTGTCTTGTCTTTGTAATTTCTTACTGTGCTTAACTTATTCTGCCATTGGACTCCATCCGAGTCATAACAATTCAACCCAAATCATTGAAAACTATTTTACAAAATCTTTTTCTACATTATCCTCCCATCTACGACTAGATATTCCAAGTAGTCTTCCTTTCACATTTCAGATTAAGTTTGTAATTCTTATCTTTTCTTCATGCGCAAGCCGTCTCATCAGTTTAACAGTAGGCCCATTTGTTGCAGAGATCAAATTAAGAAGTTTCTAAGTACGCAAACGCTGCAGATAATTTCTCCCTTGTTTGCAATTACTTTCTTTTGCACCTGTTCCCAAACACCTTCAGGTTTGCTAAATATTTATGCCTCATTTTTAACACCAAATATCACTGCAGGGAACAAACACGCGATGCTGTAGTTTCAAAGTTTGTGAATTACATTACGTCTTGAAGGATTGTGACATTCTTCCCTTTCCGCACACTTCTTCAGGCAAAACAAGAGCTGTGATTTTTTAACGCAGCCCAAACACAATAACTCTATTTCTTTCTTTTGTGGAAGGAATTGGCCTATTCTTCTGCACATTCAGATTATGCTCAGAACCTAAACTACCAGTAACACGTCATCTTCTATTTTCTGGGACGCAATGACGCCGCTTCAACTACAGGTTTTACGTAGCAGAAAATAAGATTGTTAGATGGTCATGAAGAGATAGTTCAAACGATTTGGATGTAACTGAACCTGGAATATTTCGTCACAATAACCCGATATACTCCCTGAATAACTGAGAAAACCTAGGAAAATATTAAAAGGATTGCCGGAAATACGACGGAGATTCGAACCAGCTACCCCAACGTACACAACAAAAATAAGTTACATTTACGCTCATTGCTAGGAAACGGGTTGGTAAATACGTTCCCGGAGAAGCAAATGCAGGAACAATGGGACGGTTATTGCTAGGCAAAGAAGCTGTAAACACGCATCCTTAACAATAGAGTACGGTATTTTCCGTGGGGTCCGTGCAAAGGAGTTTTCTTGAAGACAATCGTCTTTACGAGTCAGTCAGTTTTCAGTAGTGAAAGCCACGGGAAGTTCGTAGTTGAAGAAGAATTAGAAGTCTGCCTGTGAAGACTTAGTGTGTGATTAGAAGATTTAATTACAGTGAGACTGTTATAATTTCGTTACCAGGATGCGACTAGTGAAGACTGAGAATCCTAGTGCGTGTGTAACGGTGAACTGTAAAGTGTGTAAAACAGCGATAGCGCTGTATTCATTTCAATTAAGAGAACTTTTAACCGGAGTGCCAATAAATCCAATCATCCGATCTAGAACCTATTATTTTCATCATGCCTACCCCCCGACACATGACAATAAGCTTTCTGCTAAATTCTGAACAAATCTCTTCAGTAAAATGCTCTGCTCTTACGAGAGTTGCGAAGTCTCTTCCACAGCAGAATACAAATATTCATCAATATCAAAACGCGCAGCATTCAAATGGATCGGCCTCCTGTTCTCCATCCATACAAACTTTTTCCCTGTAAAATATAATGCAACTTCCATCTTATTTTCCTAGAGATCGCTTCTTGGGGTTGTTTTCCCAGAAGCTCCGTATACATGTACTTATTCTTCTATTTCCGCCAGCAGAATACAAGGATCTATGTAATTCACGAAGTTGCTCATCGTGCAATTTCCATCTTTCTCCATTTACTACATCGGTCTTAGGATCAAATGTGTTTCTTAGAAATTTGGTTTCCAAATATTTGACATTCATTCTTCTGTTTCGAACCACTGACAAACCGTTCGTTATCAAATTCGCAACACTCGCCTCTCCTACTAATAAACTTACATGTGAAACAGAAAAGGTAAGATGAAATCGATCTGGCATTTATTTAAACACCAGGTCATGAAGGAGTATGGGGGGAAGTGAGGTAGCTCCACGCTGCCTTGACCAAGGGACAATGTGAAATGGAACAGAACGACTGATATATAAGGAAAATTTAATGTAACGGTATATAAAATAAATACTGAATGCTTCTAGCGACTAAAATGTAATTTGTGTGATAATATATAAACCTATATTCTCTAAAAGTTATCAGAAACGCTGCCTGCAACCACTAATTACGGCTTAACGGGCGTTATCGAATAATGATGTATTCAGAAATATCAACAGAATACACTCTCTGACTTCAGGAGTGTAGGAAAGTCACTGCTGTGTCCTGGGATTGCGAGTTTCATGTGTTGCTACGTTAGATTCCAAATTCATACAACGGAAACACACTTCTTACACAAAACCCACGTGGGAATTCTCGTATGCCAATATTCTTCCCCAAGGGCAGAACTTATTGGCGTCCGGTACCTATGTTCCCTTTTACGTGACTCAGCATCTCTAAGCAGTGCATATTAAATCAGCTCTTTCCGTAATTTCATCAGCCCACAGACGAAGGAAGGCGGTAAGGTTGTCAACATTACACGCTGATGATCGCCTTTCACTCCTCATGAAGATTCCTGGTACTCATTTCTGTTAGCGGCTGAGTCGAACCCAGTGCCATAATGCGGCTGGAAAGATTAGGTCAAATGAAAAATCCAATGACCTTATGGGAAATTGAAACCGCGACGTTCCGTCTTGTAGCGTAGTACCTTAACCGACTACGCTACAGCGTGTCCCCAAGTGTATTTTAATATGGACCACAATTTAATCCGAAATAGGATCCGTCGTCCCACCAGAACTTAATTTATTCACCAAATATAACAAACTAATCTAAAGTAAAATGAAAATCTAATCTGCCTTTGCCCGAAGCAACTGAAAGTTTCACGAGACCTGTGGCAGCTAACCCCACACAGACTCACACACCCTGTGCTTCTGCATTACACGGAGCCCATTGGGGATCCTTGCACTGATACGTGATTCTGATATGATCTACAGTAAATCGCCGTCTCCGAAAAATACTCGTATCGTTCTTTTATTTGTATACTATTATTTACTCCAGTCACAAGCTTTACATTTTTTTTACATGAGAAATTAAATTATCTTTCTTTGTGCAGTCAAGCTTGCACCGAAATGAAGGAATGTAAACTTCGCGATGTCTTTTATAATTCGCTTAGTGGGGGGTGGAGTCCAAGCGGGTCCACTCGGCACGGCGGCCACTGATTGGCCTATTGTAGCCTGCCCCAGGTGATTATGATGATGGAAGATTTGGTGGAATGAAGATTGGCAGGGGAAACCGAAGTACTCGGAGAAAACCCGCCCCAGTGCCACTTTATCCACTACAAATCCCACTTTACCAGACCCGGGATCGAAACCGGGCCACCGCGGTGGGAAACTAGCGACTAACCGCTTGAGCCATGGCGCGGCCCAATGTAAACTTCGCGATGTGCTACTGTCAAATGACCGAAGCGCGGATTGTAGTTGTCAGCGACCTCACGCGCATTTCGTACATGCTGAAAATCCCCGAGAAGCTAGCGAGAATGCAGAAACTTTTCAAATAAAGTTGGAAGTACTGCATTCTTGTGATCTCAAATAACAAATTCCTGAAAAGGATGGATGAGTGTAATATCCTGCTTTCGAAAATGTTACATTAACATCTCAGTAAGTGAATTGAAACTGTGGTCGCAACAGATTTGATACTTAAGAAAAGCTTAATTTAATGCTAAGTTAGAAGTAAAGTCCTTCTACTTCATTATGTTAATTTATCACTTACCGGGGTTGACAGCGTGAGCAGTGAAGATCAAAAACAGATGAAGAAGCAGAAACACAATGGGCATCTGTAATGAAGGAAATAATCAAATACAAACATTCGCAACATCCAAGAATTTTATAAAAACCTTAAATTGACCTCACTGATAACTTGGTAATATGAATTAGTGTATATTTACGAATTATGATTTAACCCTCGTTTCACCGAGACAATTATTATCTTAAACTTACATACTTTAGCGCTTGAATGATCATTAAAATTAAAATACTGAAAAGAAAATTAGGAAGATGTAAATTAAGAATATTAGTCAGTACTAATCTAATATGAATTTGTTCCTACTGAAGCTGTGTCTTCTTGTCCCTTCCATCAGCGGGGGATTGGGTAGATTGCCGCCCTTGGAGGTCCGGCCAGTGTTCTTCTTCTGTATAGTTGGTTAAGAGACTGTGTTTGGTGTTGAGCTGCTTCTACTTTCGTTGTTTGTTGAGGCACTCAAGAAACTCTAGCGGTTTAAGATTTTACAAATTGTCGCGTGTTTCCTAGGTAACGCGAAAAGAAACGATAGATTTCGGATTAGACGAATGTTTATTTGGCAATCATTAGTTTACACTCACAATTGTAATCACTCTCAGTAACTCCTTTCACGTTCCCTTTGCAGTGGCTATACTCTTGCACTGCTATTCTCTGTGGAGCTTCCATTCTTGGTTCTTCGCTTACCGCTCGTTGGATCATCTCGAACAGTGTTCACTGCTCCCTATATAGGCTCGGTAAGGTCCACCCACAGAAAAAACATCGCTGCTTAGCAACGGATATCATGTACTGTTGTCAGGCGTGTCTAACTATGCACTGCCTAGCAATGAACACCCTATTGTTGCGCATTCGTTACTGTGATATTTTTACGTATTCGTATCTGTTGCTTAAGAACTACCATAGGCAACGGTCTGTTTATATTTCGGTGTCTAGGGATTGCTAGCCGTTGACCAGGAACAGACGTTCTACAGTCCAGCCTTCCTGGCGGCACGCCACAATATTAAGAATTTTATTAATATTTTAACCGACCACATTTCAGCTTAATTTAAAATCTGTATACATAGAACTCTGGATAACTTTTAACTTGATATATTATGATTTATGGTATAGTAGTTGTAGTTTCCTCAAGTGTTATTTGTTTTCTGAAGATGGTCATTAATTGAATGAAACATGTAAAGGCATTGTATATATATATACATACACTTTTGAGTCACAATGACCAGTGTAGTCAAATCATCCTAACTAGTGTGACAGACCAGAATGAATGAAGTTAATCTCTCACACTTTGTAGTACTCGTAATCACTTTTACTTTCAGAATTAATTACTCTTAGGTTAAGTGTGCTATTCAAGCACCAGACAAGTGCAGTCTCAGATAGGACAGGGCACTGATAAACAGAATCCTTGACAAAAATCACACGTCATATAACATGGAGCGACAGCTACTTGTGTTTGCGGGTGAAGGCAGCCGTGACGCATATCCTCGTCTAGATGGATGAGTAATTAAAATCAGTGGCACTGAACTAACACTGTCGCGCCTGTGCTTCATTTGCACATTTGCATCAGCTGTAGGGCCTAGCGTGGGTAGCAGCTCCCTAAAGTAAGCAGGACTGTTTCTAGAAATGTATCAAACTCTTTGGAATGATGATATTTAATTTATAATATTTGAAATGATATCTAACCCGAATGCTTCTTGATTATGATCTATCCATACTGAGGCTGCAGAAAGAGGCCTCATAAAGTTGGTGTGGGAGTTGAAGATGTTCGAAGATTCTTCTTTTCTGCCTACTGTTGTAATCCAAGCAGTCCCGTCTTGCTATTTTATTACACACAAGGCACTTGTGGTTATTACTTACTTACTCATGGAGCTGAGTCCTTCTGGAAGAGCCGCCAATTCTGCAGCTACTCAAGAAATTCCCAGCATTTTATGGAACCCGAAGGTTTATTACCGTGTTCACAGAAGCCCTCCACTGGTCCCTATCCTGAGCCAGATATATCCAATCCATAACATCCCATCCTGTTTCATTTTTTGTTTAATTGCTAGTGGGGTGGGACTAAGTCCCTTGTACTGCGGCCACTTCTGGCCTATTGTACCAGCCCCAGATGATAGGTGAGGGTGATTGTGGAGCAATTGGTGGAATGAAGATTGGCAGGCAAAACCGAAGTACTCGGAGGAAACCTGCCCCAGCGCCACTTCGTCTACCACAAATCCAACTTGATCAGACCCGGGATCGAACCCAGGCTGTACACCCATCTACGCCTTGGTCTTCTCTGTGATCTCTTTCTTTCTGACTTTCTCACCAATATCCTATACGCATTCCTCGTCTCCCCCATTCGTGCTACATGACCTGCGTACTACTACCAAACTTCTTGTTACAGAATAGTTAGATAATAAGATGGAAGCGTAAGAATAAGAGCTTGAGAGAAATGTGGAAGGGTCAATTGGCGGGACTTCATTCCGTGCTTTCACTATAGTTCACTTACTGTTTGGCACATTGAACCACATTGTCACTTCTCACGACATAAAGCGACATACTTATTTAAGACAACCTAATGTATTACTGCAACTTTGCACTTATTTTCATATTACGTACATCTAAAAACATATGCCATTTAGCTTCAACCCTAAAAATTTCGCTTTCTGATTTAACAGCAGAAGGTCCTCAGAACTGCAACTCCATGAATGTATTTTTTTTCCCTTGTCACTACAGCCCCAGTGGGCCTAGAACTACCTCCATGAACTTCTCCGTTCACTTCGGTTTTTCTAGATCTTAGACATTCGGTAGGACTCCTTGGGCGGGTGATCAGCTCGTCACAAAGCCTCTACCTGTACACAAACACAGAAAAACGCACACAAACATCCATCGTGGGATTCGAACCCACGATCCCGGCTTCCGAGCAAGCGAAGACAGTGCACGCCTTAGACCGCTCGGCTACCGTGACCGACCAATGAATGTATATAATTATTAATTAATTTTCCATTACATGAGAAATGTAATATAGCGTATTTTCTTCTTCAGAGGCTCACTCTGTCATACTCCAACAGTGTAGGAACTTTCGCAACTATATATTTTATGTAAAACATTTATTTAATTGTAAAACATATTCATCCATATATTAACCTGTTTTCTGATTTATCCGACGATATTTATAAAAAAGAACTCCGTGGCCTGTAGTTCGCAAGCGAACTATACCGGTCGAGTGACCGCCGCTTGTCAGCGAAGTTAGTGCCAGCTTTTGGGGATAGAGGGTGTCACGTGGTCAGTGCAACCGATCCCCAAGGCCTTCAATCTCGGTTTTCTAGACCGGAGATGATATTTATAACATAATGAATTTGAAAACGATACCAAAGGATGTTCTGGAGTAGAGTCACAAATATTTCTGTTTTAAGATACAAGTTCCCGGCACCCTTTCTTTCCGACTTCAACGGAGATTGGATATTAATTCGGCAGACTCTCTTCGTGACCTTCAGCGGAGAGTAAAGACGACCTCTAGGTATAGAAGGTAGATACAAATATATATAAAGCACGATGGGACATTCTACAAGCTGCATTTCTTAGTTTGAGTGGAGGAAGCAGCCCTCAAGGATGGAAATCTCGTGTTATTTAGCGTGTTCATTAGCATACGGTAACTAGCCTTGGGGGTTCCACAAGAGTTGACTTGTTTAGCTGAGTCAATATTATATTTTGCAGGAAACCGTTTCATTTAGTTAATTGGTTTCTTGTTTAGTAGCTAATGAATTGTAGTAAAACCTAAGATTTACATATGGAATATTTGTTACATATAGTTAACATTTACACTAGTCAATACAGGAATAGGCATCAGTCAAAATAATGCATAAAAATTTGCAATAATTTCGGTGAAATCTGGAAAATGCTCATATGGAATTCTGCACTTGTTCCAACGGCTCGAGGTCGACTCCATTCAATCTGTAATGTTTATATCATGTCATTACAGAACGTAATTAATTATGTGTTGTGAAATATTATTCAGAGTTATTCAAGAACAATTCATTATAAATATGGGACAACTGCAAACTCTCACGAGAAAATCCGACGCTTATCTTCTTGTTAGGTAACAAACAGTGTAAAAATGTGTTATTAATTATTTATGATAGGGCTACTGCAAATACATGAATATAACATCCTTATGTAACTTTTCAGAAATTTTACAGGAGCAGTCAAATTTTGATTATTGAGAAAAATATTTTTAATAAGNTATTCTGCGTTTGTACTGTGTTCTGTCTAGGTAGAGGCCTTGCGACTGGCTGATCACCTATCTAAGGAGTCCTACAGTCTGTAAAAATGACCCAAAAACTGAAAAATAAGCCCTGTGCTCCAAACGTGGGAGTGAGAGAAAGAAAGAAATATATACGTACACACATATGAGGGAAATGTAAAGAGTTAAATGCAATTATATTTTACATAAAAAATGACAATGACAGAACTGGAAAATATATCGGATACGAATAGCAATAATATTCTCGCAAAGTATTTGTTTCATAATATGTTCTGAGAGTAGTAACAATGAGATGTATCTAACACGGTCCCTATATTGGCCAGCGTCCAGAGATTAACAAATGGTATATGACCGAAATTTGTGGCCAAAGGCCACATTACATATTACATATTACATATCTACATACACAACATATATATATATGTGTGTGTGTGTGTAAACACATTATAAACCTTTGTATCATGTGCAATAAATGGATAAACACGAAAACAGGTGGTGATCCTTCTATATGCTACTGACCACAAAGTTATGAATACCTTACCCGTGTATATGTATGAATAGCGTCATTCTCACGTGGATGGTAGCAGAATTCAGGATGTCACGCCAATCATTGCGCAAATGAAAATTCTACTGTCACCTAGTTTCCTTGGACAAGAACTCTACAATTCAAGGGTGTGCTCCATCTGTTTTAACAACGTGAACCTCTGACATAAACAGTAATTAAAATAACACGTGAGCATGGGATGACAAATGTATGTAAAACAGACATCACCTACCTCAGTGAGTGACACCACTGCAGGTTG